TATAGCTTGCGAGCCCCCACTTTCCTCCGCCTTGGGGGTGGAACGCTCGGTCTCGAGACTCACCTCCATACACCGCCCAGCACGCCTGCCGGAGAAGCATGGCATCGCAGGGAGCGACAAAGCTAAATAGGCTGCTTTCCCTCATTGGGTTTATGGTTTAGGGTGTATTCCGAGTTGGGGATATCTTGCGGCTGGTGTGCAGTATGATGACTGCCACTGCCTTAGCCGCAGCCCGAGTTCATGGTTTTGCTGTGATTGCCGCCTCCGATTTGTAATTACCTGTAGTCTCCATTGTAGTTCCTTTTGGGGGATACCTTATAAAATTCTTAATATATAGTTGGTTAAACCAAAAAAAGGAACTACAATGGAGACTACAGCTACGAACATCATCACCCTCGCGGCTTGAAGTACAGGCTCAGGGTGTGCGGCCCGTCGTCCCGAGCACAACAGAACGGGATAAGAAGGTTGTCAGACGTGACGGCAAACGCCGCGCTATTCAACCAGAACGTCGTCGCACATTCAAGGCTCGGAACCCATACCCTAAACCCCTAAACCCTGAACCCTATAACAGCCCTTCTCAGAACTCAAGAACCCTTTGACCGAAATCTGAATCTTGAACCCTGCTGAACCAAGGAGCAAAGATTGCTAAACTCCAGACCCCTCAGAGCCTAAAGACCTAAACGGCCTGAGCTTCACAGTCGGAGCAAGATTCGGCTCAACCTAAACCCTCAAACCCTGAAGCCCTAGACCCTAGACCCCAAACCCTACAAGCCCTGAAACCTCAACCCTGAAACCCCAAAACCTAAACCCCTGTAACCGAAACCCTAAATCCCTCAACCCTACTTAAAGGATCATGGGACTTAGTAAGTAGGGTTGTTATTAGGGTAACTATACTTATAACCCCAATTCAGGGACTTATAACCTTACTTACTCAGTCCCATGATCCTCCAAGTAAACCCTCAACCCCAAACCGTAGCCTGAGCTTCAAAGCCAGAGGTGGATTCCTGCTTCTCGAGTCCCCCAAGGCGCTGAGGCCCTCCCTCATGCTCAGCAGATCGACCTTGGTGCTCCGGCTTTCGGGTTTATTGGCTCTTCGGCTTTGGGGCTTTTGGGGCTTTTAGGGTTTTTAGGGCTTTGAGGCGTTTAGGCTTTTTGGGGTTTTGGTGCGTTTAGGCATAGGGCTTAAGGCTTCAGGAGGATTGAGGGAGTTTTGGGGTTTGGGGTGTAGGGCTTTCGGGCTTGAGGATGTTGTTGCTTAAGGGCTTTGGAGCCTAGGGCATTTGGGGTTAAGCTTTGATGATATATAGGGCTTAGGACTAGACGTTCTTCTATTGACAGTCATTGACATTGAAACACCCAACACCATACTCCGAAAAGTCAACATCGGTACGCATCGAAACACCCGAAGCCTTACTCCGAAGATTCAACTTCGGTATGCTTCCGGATTTGTGATTCAAGGTTTCAAGGTTTGGGTGCAGAAATGAGCTTTGCGGTTGAGGGCTCAAGGTTCAGGCCTTGGGATGAATGTTTGGGGTGTGTGGGTTCCGTGCTTTGCTGGGTTCTGATTGCAAGGAATTGCTGTCACTGGTCAGTATCCCTCTTGTGAGCTAGCGCCTGATATTGTATGGTTGCACTGTTGAGAGCAGCTTGCCATGGTAGGTTGGCATACGACTCACAAGACAGTACCACGTGCATGCTGTATTGCAGATCACACGAACTCACCGCACAGGCCCCCGGCAACAGGAGTCTGGCCAATGGCTAAGATCTCATCGCCGACCTAGCGGGGAACTCCGAAGCTCTAAACCCAAATCTCTAATATCCTCCTTGCAGGAGATTGCTCTAAAAGCCAGGACCAGCTGCTCTAAACAGCCAAGCCACAAACCCTGCAAACCCCAAGACATGGATTTAGACAAGCCGCTCTCGGTCCTGTGAATGATGAGTACCAACGCAAGTAAACTCAGGAGCCCTCCTACGAGTTGGAGCTCGTACGTGCACCTGATTTGGAAGCGCGCATGTGTTGCTTTGTCAGGGTGTAGTCATGGCCTTCATGCGCATGCTGGCATGTTCAAGTTTGCAGTTTAATCAAGGTTTCGGAAAGCATATTGCTAGAATGATGACCCCCAAGCCCTTGCGGAAACTTGAGTGGACATTTGACCTGGAACTGCGCACTTATAAGCCCGGCTGCCAGATTCAACGTGTCAGGAGTTCGCACGAACCAGAAACGTCTTGGATAACAGAAAAAACTTGTGTCCTGTAGCTGTGGTCAGCCTTGTAACTGCTTTTGTTTTTGCAGTTGCACGATGATTGCGGAGCCCCAAAGAACTTAGATCCTGAAGTGAAGTAATCCTCAACCGGCTGCAAGAAGCCTGCACTCCAGCAGCGATGGCACCCCTACCACGGACTGCCTGATTTCGGCAGCAAGGAAAGGCTTGCGTTGGAGGAGTTAAAATTTTCGGCGTAGGGGTTTGGACTGTATAGTCGGGGCTGAGGGCTGTGCGGCTTGAATTGAAGGTTTACGTACGTGCGTACGCATGTGCGGATGTATGAACGCATCCACGCTTGCATGCATGGAAGCATGCATGGATGCAGGTATGTCTGCATGTATGCATGGGCGGATGCAAGTATATATGTATGTCTGTCTGTATGAACGTATGTCTGTATCTATGAACGTATGCATGAATGTAGTTATGTATGAACCTGCAACCCCAGGTATGGAACTCCTATCCTACACCGTCTGATGCGCCTTCACGACCACAGTAGGGTCAAGCAGCGTACCGCTTTCCTGGCATGGAACAACGAATGCTGACACGCTGAGCGGTATGACTAGTGACCCCTCTTCAAGGCCCGCTTCCACTCTGGCGGTTGATGAGCTTTTGCGCCGACAGGGTTTAGGGTTTAGGGTTTAGGGTTTAGGGCCCTGTTTGCCATGGGCAACCATGTTGATGTGCGCGGTCCAACAGCAACGACGGCCACGAGAATCCACCATAGACATCATGAGTTTATACCGTGGTGACTTCCAAAGCTGCCAAAGTGCCAGGTACTAAACAGAAAGGCGGAGGAAAAGACGCCTTTGATGGTTCCCTAAAACCTTGTTTGAAACGCCAGCCTCTTGACCCTGAGAAAGCCTGAAGGAAAGCTCCAAACTGCACAATCCCTAAACACCTTCCCGCCGAAAGCCCTAAAGCCTTGAAACTCTAAAAAAATCCAACCGAGCACCCTAACCCGAAACACCCAAACCCCAAAGCCTACACCCTAAACCCCAGGTGCTCCTGGACCTCCAAACCAAGTAAGGGAGGAAGCCATCCATGGCCTGCCTCGTGAATCTAGTTGTAAAGGCCTTACCTGGACCCCAAAGTATGGAGAACAGGAATAACGTCAATGTATACATTAATAATAGAACTACTGTGAATAAAAAAGTAGTAATATTGACGAACAATAATTCTCAATAGCAACATTACCCCTTTGAAGGTTTTGGGCCATGTGTTTCCACTTTCGTTGGCTTGGGTAAGAATTTGAAGAGTGTTTAGGTTTTGTTATGCCATGATTGCTTTTAAGGGCCATTAAGAATAGGTGTTGACACGGATTGAATTGAAGTGCGAAGATAAATCTAGCTTTGGGGGATGCCAAGGATTTAGGGCTTTGGGGGTTCAGGCGACATAGGATACCTGGAACAAGTAATCTCAACCCTAAACCCTAAACCCTAAACCCTAAACCCTAAACCCTAAACCCATGGGTTCCATCTGTTGGATCCTGGGGATGGTGAAGATAGGAGGAACTGGGTATTTGATGAGGGAGGCGGCATGCAGCTGTTGGGTCTTGGGGTTTAGACTTTCAATTAGTTTGAGGCTTCGGGGTTTAGGGCTTTAGGGCCTTAGGACTTTGGGCTCTACGGCTTGGGCTCGGCTTCGACGGTCTGCGGCTTCAAGGCTTCACATAAAGCCTGGACCTGACACACCAAAAGATAAGCCCAGAAGAAACGAGCAACCTTGGCATGCTTTCTGCTGGCATGTGCTCTAGCATAGGTTAAAGACAACCTTAGACAACGCTTGTTCTAAGCTGACGACGTATCAGACTCGAGAAATGTAAGCTCCATACGTCCATACGAGTGTTTAAGAAGCGCAGTTACATGGCATCAAAAGCGTCGCAGCACAAATTCATTACCTGTCACCCTCTTCTGCCTCAATGCCTGAATACCTAAGGCGCCCTTTGATCGACAAACAAGCGGCTGGCTGGCACACATTGACTGCAACCGACGACACTCTTGGGACAAAGCACACATACAACCACACGTAACTTCACACTTTTACTCACAGCTGCGTTCTGGCAAGTGGCTGGCATAGCAGCTGCGCTGCACGGCTGACTGGGCATCCCCATCATCTCAAACACAGATGTTGAAGGCTTGAGCCCGTTTGGGCCTCCATCTTTCAACTCTAGGATTCCATGAGAAAACCCAGGAACGCCGCTGCAAGTCGCATCCCAGCAGTTGGCTGGCAAGGCGACAGAGCATCCGTGCCACCCCGGCTGAAGAAAACAAGAAAGCTTGGGTTCTTAGAAGTGGGGTTTAGGGTGTAGGGCTGAAGGTAAGCGGGTTTTAGAGTTTAGGGTATAGGCTTTAGGGTAGAAGGTAAGAGGGCTGTGGGGATTTAGGGTAGGTTTTTGGGATGAAGGTCAAGAGGACTTTGGGGCTTAGGGTTCGGGGTTGAAGGTAATATTTTTGGGGGTTTGGGGTTTAGGGTTGAAGGTAATATAGGGTTTTGGGGGTTTGGGGTTTTGGATCTTGGAGCCCACAGTGTTTGAGTTTAGGGTTTAGGGTACGCGTCGCACTCTAGTGACTCCTAAGAACAAAGGCTCTAACCCCAAAGCAGCAGATCCTACAGGGCTCAGGGATGCTGAAACATCAAAAGCTGTGGAAAGACAGGGGGCGGATAACGAAAGCGATGCCTTTTGCATCTCTGCCTGAATCTCAGTGGCGCTCCCTTCTGGGCTCACTCTGTCTCCACAGATGCCTGTGTTGCACCAAGTGGACCGAGTGGTACCAGAACCAGGACCAAGGGCTCTGTCGTCCACGTCATGACCCGCCACCATGCGCGATAAAAGTACTGGTCACGCAATGCATCCCTCCACCTGGGTTGCTGTTAAGGAACTTTAATTTAAGTTACCATTATGGAGATATATAGTAAACAGTAGGGCTTCCGTATTGAATATAGTCACTTAAATTAAGTTCCTCAACAGCAACCCAGTCACATCATACCTCGGGGAGGACGAGGTAGTCGGAACCAATAGCCGACCCGTTGCCCTTCTGCTAAAACAAGGTTGTTCGTCAGCACAAATACCTGATCCAGGCCACAGCCACGCGAGAACACCAATCTCGACCTCCACTGCTCTTTAAACTCTCAATTTAATTAAGCAAAAGGACAAAATGCATTTTCTTGGCTGCTTAACGCTCACAGTTCCAGAGCAACCGAGACACTTGTACTGTAGGTGGACTTGTTGGCTGGCCTTTGCCACATTGCGGGCTCGTCGAATTGCATTCATCTTGTTCAGCAGTTGATACGGAGACGAGGTCTTGTTCCAGTTGAACTGCCACAGTATACGGAATTGCCTTGTTCCTGGGAGCGCATCAAGCCCCACAGTAGTCCCCTGTTCCCCGAATGCCTAAAGTAGAAGCTCCCGATAGGTGCCCGAGTACCCAACTCAACATCTTGAATCTTGAGCCAAGGGAAACAACAAACCTTCCAACGCCTAAACTCCCAACTTAGAGACTTATGCACGGGTGAAACCAGCGAAGCTTTAAGTCTGAGAAAAAAACTCCAAACCCTCCTCCCGCGTTCCCTTCGCCTGCCCGTGCCCTAAACCCCAAATCTTTAAGCCCAGGGACGTCTCCCCATGTGACTACCGGCATGCCCTTGGCGAACAAGAGCCAGGCCCAGGCATTCCGGACCAGCACCGGGTACCCAAGACATCCCGATGCTGAACCGTCGGGTAGGTGAGATTGACCCCAAATGGGTGTCTCATCCTGGCTTCTTCTTGACGAGCTGAATTTAAGTTTCTACCAACAAAGAGATCCACAGCAAATAAGAACCCTAAGCCCTAAACCCTATAAGCTTCCTTCATTATGATAACTGAAAGCTCAGCTTGTTAACAAGAACACGATATCTTCCCTAAGCCCTACCTGAACCCTAAAGGAACCTACCTTGACTTAGGGCTCCTGATGATGATGTCCTTCTATAGTTCCAAAAACAAGTAGGTTCTTTGGGCTGTAGGTAAACCCCCAGGCCTATAAACCTGAACAAGAGCCCGGGATCTTGGTTGTCCATCATGTTCATGAGCAAGTTCAGATCTTTGTAGAGCCCCGACCTCACCAGATTCGGCTGCAGGCTGAGAGTTCAGTTTTAAAGTCTTGCACTTCAGGGTTCAGGCTTCAGGGTTCAGAAGTAGCTGTATTAAGCTTTAGGAGTTTAGGGTTTGGGTTTAGAAATAGCATAAGTGGGCTGGGGTATCCCCCAAGGCAACCTGAGGACCTTCTCAGCCCTGAGCCAAAACCTCGAAAAGCCTAAACTCCATTCATGTCGAAAGGCCTCTGTTGACGAATCATTTCCCCGGCCAGGTAGGTGAGATCGAACTGAGCCACTGGAGATTTTGGCCCATTTGGCCAACCACAGTACCCCGGCATCGCCATGTAGGTTAATGGAAAGTTCTCGAGGCCAGCCAAGACATCCTTTCCGTCTTGTACCTGTGCAGAGGGGGAAACATGAGGATCCAACATTGGGACACGGACTGATTCCGGCTTCCTGCATGATCGTTCCACGGACAGTGTATCAGAGTGACAGTACCTGTCACAAAAATCAAGACCATCCTCGAGAAGCAAGACGCGACCACGACGATTACATCAACGGCGACGGCGATGCTGCCGACATTAGAGTAGCCAGGTGTTTTGCACAACTACCACAGTAGTCGAGCAATGTGATGCTGCGGACGTATAAGGCTCAAAACCCTGCACCCTCAACGCCGCTCTCGTCTGCTCGGCCTGGTAGGAGGCATGAAAGCTGAGGTTTGTGGAGGTCACCTCCCCGAGAATGTGGATCGGATTATCGAGTGCGTGGAGCATCTCCTCTGCGCAATAAAGCTTTGACAAATAAATTGGGGGGGGGGGGGGGGGGT